CCTTATGCGCCAATGGGAGTTGACTCAAGTGTCCAAGGGAATTTGTCTCAAGTTTTTAGTCTCTAGAAATGCTTATATTTTCATCAAGAATAAACTTATAATAATAAGCAAATGCATGACGTAGTTGGGCACAGATATTTGTTGTTAGACTCTAAAGAGGCTGCATTACTTCCTTTCTTTCCCTTAATATTCGCCTTTATTTCTCTGCAGTGTATCGATAATTCTTAATCATGGGCTTTTCAGTGGCATTTTATATTTCATGCTGTTAATGCTCTTCTGGAAAAAAAGTGTCACAGTTTTCAAAAGGGGAATGTCTCATCTTGGCATTAATCTTATCATATTAAAAAGCGCACAGCCATGTGTAATAAATCCATATTATCCTAATCGTGACAGTGTTGAAATTGCCCGAATCCTCACATGAATGGCAGTCGCCTGACAGCTCTGCGGCAACTTTCTAAAAGCGGAAGGATTGTCCGACAAAAATAATAATTCCACTGTCATTATTACAAATATATATTGATGTATCCGAGTTGAGCGTAATTGTCTCTAAAATGTCTTTTTTTTCATACATTACCCCAGGACTCTTCACAACTGAACTCGTTTTGAGTGTTTTCTCAGTAGATCGAAAGCTTCTGGCCTTTCTGGTTACTTCTGTTCCTAATAGCAGGTCGCTAATGCAGGCGTACTGTTCAGGCAGCATGTATGGATCAGGTAGGGACGGGTAGGTCTGTCACAAATTGCAACTTTTCTCACGTAGTGCAGTTTTGGCCTTGCTTAGTAGCTTTTCCCATGCTATAGATTCAATGCTAATTCATACTCTTGGCTAATTCCCGATCAAAGGAAGGAATACAAATGAACGTTATCACTAACCCATCAGAGGTCACAGAGCTGCGCATTGAGGTAATGTTGAAACACAAAGATTACCATGAAATGCTAATCCAATGTTAATGATGAATACTGAGATGAATGCACATGCTGGAATAACATTTATAAGCAGAGTAATATCCATGGGAAGTTAAATCAGTGTTTTTTTCTTTTGGCATTGTTGGTGGGAGGCTGACGACAAAAATAATATAGAACCGACGCTATCAAAGTTAATCATCTTAACGGACTGAAATTCTTTTATGATGCAAGTTATTCACAAGTCTATAAAGAGAGTTGGTCAAATTGTTGAATAAATCAAACTGACAGGCAACTGAATTGGAAGATGACTGCCAGTGAAACCTTTTATATATCTAAGTGCCCAGGAACCCATTTCTGTTTATTAAAGGCCTCAGGATCCATCCGTTGATTCTCTTGCAGTCCTTATAAACCTCACATCTTTTATGGGAAATGCCTCGAAAATTACTTTTCAAATTCATTTCTCAGATGTTGTGAGTGGAAACACACGTCCCTGCTTTCTTGTAACAGATCCTCTGCATTATTTTCAAGCGTTTCAGCATTTATTATGTTCCGCCATCAAACTTGGTTCATCTTTTATTAAAGTTACTGCTGAGGAAGGCGTAAAACCTCTAAACTCATAGATTCATCCTTCTCTGTCTTTCCTTTCGTCTCCATATTTGTCTCTCTCTCTCTGTGTCATCGCTGCCCCCCCCCCCCCCCCCCCAAGCCTCCAGCCTGCGGTGTCATCTGTCTCACTAAAAACTCTAAAAGCATCTCATTGCATTCTTTTTCACTTTTTTTTTTCACAAACTTTGCAATCCTTCTCAGATTTGACTTTTCATCCTCCCAGCTTACTTCGTGCCTCTCCGTCTCGTGCTCCCTGCACCCCGACTCTGCTGTAATTGCTTATCTAGGGAGAAATAAAATCCAGGTAAATGGTTATGTGTGTGGGAGTGTGTGTGTGGTAGAACGAGTAGCTGAATGCTGCAGTCGGCTCTGCTCGCACGCCTTTATGTGTGTGTGTGTGTGTGTGTGTGTGTGTGAGACAAATGCAGATAGTTCTACAGATGGCCCATAAAAGCAGCAGCTTGTAATGAAGCAACTGAGACTCAAATCATGGTTATGGTAAACTGGGGAGAGGCAGAGACAGTGAAAGAGAAGCATATATAGATGGATAGAGAGAATAGTGAGGAGAAAGAAGTGTGAGTAAAGGAAGAGAACGCAGCCGGCAGTAAACCATGAAAAGAAATGTGTTGTAGCTCCTGGCTACTGAACAAACTGGTGTAATGAAACTACGTGATGTTCACAATAAACTATAGAAATAGTAAAGAGGAATGAAGGGATGGACAGAAGGGCTGATACAGTGGCAGGGATGCAACAGAGTAGAGATGGAACGGGAGAGGCAAGGCACACTGGCATGTTGTCAACGTTTTTAATTGAGGAGGAGGGAGCAGGGGGAGCAGGACAGGAGGGGACGAGCAGTGTGACAGGAAGGGAGAGACGTGGAGGGAAGATGGAGAGAGATTATCAAATACAACATGGGAGACATGGGAGATACGGCTGGGAACAATAAACAAGAAGGTGCTAAAGAGGCAGAGACAGATGGAAAAAAGGATGTAATAAGAAGTGGGAACTAACACGCTACCCAGAACAAATGTATGCAGAATAAATAAAACCTTGAGAGGCTCAGACTGGGAAGTGTGTGTGTGTGTGTGTGTGTTGGGAGAGGAAATGTGTGTGTGTGTGTGTGTGTGTGTGTGTGTGTGTGTGTGTGTGTTGGGAGAGGAAATGTGTGCCTGATGGAACACTAAACACCCAACATCCTGACACCGACTGCGGCCACACTAACTGGCAAAATCAATAGGCCACCAGGTCGCCACACTAGGCCAACCTGACATCCAATCACAATACAGCACCGGGGGGGTCGCTTCGGTGATGGATGACCCTGGGTATGTGTGAATGTGCGTGTGTACTAGTGTCGAAATGTGTCTTGTCAGTGTGCTTTTCTCTGTAATGATAAGGAGTATGGTGGGTGGGGGGGGGTCGGAGGTGGTGGTCTTTAGCAGAATGACTATCCTGTTCCATCTATGTGGTCCCATCTATGTCGTCCACGCGCGTCGACGCACGGGACTAAAAACACCATTTTAAAGAAAACCCTTACACGCCATCTTTATTTCAACTAATTACAGGCTTGTGCATTTTGGGGTGTTTTTTTTTCTACCAATGTTGACTCTTTTATTATTTCTGTTAATCATTTACTTTCATCTATTCTATTTTTAAATGATCCACAAGCTTTTTACGTGTTGACCCCATCGTATTCAAAATGGATGCTAATGATAATCAGTAGGACGATTCATTCATGGGAAACCGAGAGGGAACCGCGGGTGTGTGAAAACGCAAAACGTCCACACGATGTCCTTCGTAACCGACAGCTGTGTGGCTGCAGCGCAGGTACAGGTTGGGAACGGGGAGAAGAAGCGAGGGAGGAGGGTGTAATTGAAAAGGAATGGCGATAAAGTTATTTTGTAAAGGAATCAACCAGCCAGCCAAGAATGCCTCGATTGTTCCGTTTGCTGATATTCTCTATTCACTGCCTGCCTTGTGATTGATAACTCAATTTCTGCCCTCAGCGTGGATGGAAAAGATTTCCCTGGATCTGTACGCTAGCTCTCCGTTTTAGTATAATTGCCCAAAAAAACCCAGCAAAAGTTGTGTGAAGAAGTAAATGTGTTGAGGTCTTTCTGGGGACATTTTTCCTGAAGGAATTTCTCATTGTGCAGCATAAAATTGTCCTCACTGCTTCTGTGATTTCCTTTTTGCTCTCCTTGTCCCGTCCCATTTCAACTGTCCGCTCCTCCCTCCCTCCCTCCGTCTGAGTAGTTTCCTACTTCTATCTATCCCGTCCTGTGTCCTCTCCCTGTCTCTAGCGACGAGCGACATTTCCATTTCATCTGTTAATTACAACTCATGGCTTAGGACGGTGTTTCAAAATGCCGATTGATTATGACTTTGATATTTACGATACTGAACCTCCAAACATGCAGCTTATCTTCTGTTCTCCTTCAGACACATGTCAAATATGAACGTGGAAGCGTGCTCAAATAAAAGTGAAGAGTCCGTATCTCTCCCGTATCCTCGAGCAAAACTCTCTCCTCCGTAAAGTTTGTCTAGCGGCGCAAATATTTCATTCCAGCATCTAAAAAGAGCCACGCAGCCGGGTGGGATCAGTGTGGGGGGGGTGGGGGGCACCACCTAAAACACCTGCTGTTTCTCCCCTCTTATAGCTAAATCTGATAAGAATGCAGGCTCAGACGATGCATCTTGAGCTGGACGACCCGCCTTCTGGTTTCCCAGTTGGTTTCTCGTCTCCTCGGCTCTTGCCTCCCCCTCACCCAATCTGTTCGTCTCCTCCTCCCTAGCCCCCTATCTGTCTTAACAGTTTCATAGTTGTATCAATCAAGTTCAAACAATAAGCCCGTAGTTGGTCCCTGTTCTCCCATGTACTTTTCTGGTTTATGGCTTGTATGGCTCCCTCTCTCTGCCTCTATCCGCCTCTTTCCTGAGTGTGTGTGTGTGTGTGTGTTGGCGTATTTGTGTCTTTGTATATATGTGCCAAATTGTATATGCATGTGTCTTAGGCACCGAACTGTAAATGTATCAAGAGGGAATAAAGTGATTAACCATACAACACTAAAGTTTCCCTCCCTCTCTTTGGTGTGACTTAGTTTGCTTCTTAGAGTGCAGTCAAAACATTTATTGTATATTAATAAGAACTCTAGGCGGAAGGACCTTCTCTTATGGCTGCTTTAGGTATGATTTCAGAACAGACTTTGACGCTGTGTGTTTACGCATTCAATCTGCATCACCACAAAGCCAGTGTGTATGGAACAGTGTTTTCAATGGTACATGCAGTGTGCAGACCTGGGAGCTGTAATTGCCCCAGAGTAGTCTCTGGATGGGACACATCACAGAGCAATAGCTGGGTAAAGTATATGGCTGGGACCCAGTGGAGTGGGGGCTGAAGGCGTAGTTAAACAGTTTAGTGTAATTCAATTGAAGACAGAAATGCGAAAAGGCCTTAATCCTCCTTTTTCTCAATTGTTTCTTTTCTCCTGCAGAACTCCACAGCACATCCTGTGGAAACCCCGGCGTCCCAGCTAAAGCAGTGCTCAGTGGTGGAGGGCGCTTCGCCGTGGGAGACCATGTGCGCTACAGCTGTGTCCCTGGTTACGTCTTAGATGGCCACGCAACACTTACCTGCATTACCAATGCCGGAAACACTGCCGTTTGGGACTTCCCTGCTCCGATTTGTCGAGGTATTAACAACTATACGTGTGTGTGTATATATGTATAGGGCTGTGTGTGGTTGTGCATGACTGTGGATGAAGAGTTTTTTTCTGAAGTAAAGATGTATGTGATTAAAAGAAATACAAAAGGATATTTAACACAATATTATTCAAGTAATAATATCTACATCATGCTTTGGAAGAACCCTAACCCTTCATTTAATACATGTGTCAGTGAGAGAGACAGAACGACGGACAGGCTGTGTGTGTGTGTGTGTGTGTGTGTGTGTGTGTTGTTATGCCATACTTTATCATCAAAAGATGTGTGTGGGAGAGAGGCAAATATGCAGCATGCAATGTATGCTGTAGTCTATTTGGGGATTTCAGGGTGGGTGCTGATAGTACGCAGACTATGGCGTTGCATACTATGACACACTACAGTACGTATTGTGAGGAGGAACGTATTTGGCCCACTTAACCGTGTTGTGCAGGTCGATGTACTGTATATCTTTAACACTCTTGCACAGCTCTCTCTCGCAATGAGTTTGGAGAAAACCATATTTAAAGCGACGGCAGCACGAGCAGCATGACTAATAATCACACATAAATGACATCTTCTTTAATGGATTAATTTGTCATATACAGTGCCAGTCAAAAGTTTGGCCACACTTCCTCATTGGATCAAAAGAAGAAATGTGTCCAAACTTTGGACTGGTATTCTTCTTACATTACCCATTTAGTGTAATATTTTGATCAAATGAGCGCTGGCAGCTCATTGTCTTACTGTACCACACCATACGATTTAGTCTCAATGTCTCCAATTGTTCAAATATATTCAAGCTCATCCAAAAACAGAGCGCAAGAATGAGAGTGTGACGAGCGACTTCAAAGCGAGCCGTAGCAAAAGCTTAGTAAGCCACAGAGAGAATTATTTCGGAGTAGGTGGGGGGGAAGCTGGAACTGAAGGCAACAGGAGTTTGGAGATACAGCTGAGGACAAAGGGGACTTTAATGGGATTCCTATTTCTCTTTTGTGGATGACTAAGTAGGCAAGTAAGTGATGTCTAACCATGATCAAAGCCATACAAATTATACAGCCCACTTAGCTGTTTTTTCATGGCTAATCGTATATCTCCCTTTGTGGCTATCTAGTGGATGCCATCAAACTACGTGAGTGGCCAGATGGCAGCTGTACGAGCGAGCCGGTATTTACGGGAATGTGATGCCAGACAACGGAACTGATTGATGGTTTGAGGTGACACGGCGAAAACAGGAGCCCAAGTAAAGACGAATCGGTTGGACAGCCTTAACACACCCTATGCTCCCGATCCCAATGCGATGACATGCAACGGCAACAAATCATTCCTCGGGCCTTCGCTGCTTGGTCGCTGTAGGACTATGTGTTGAAATGTATGTTGTGGCAACTCGGCGGACGTGGATTCCAGATTTCAGAATAGAATTAGCTACACAGAGACATTTTTCAATTAATGAAAAGCATCCTTTTATAATTAAACGTTGGGAAAAGGGGCTCAGGTCGAAACACAAAAGTTTCTTCCCAGTCAGGGTCTTGATGAGAGGGCGAGGCGATATGGGCGCCTCCTGTTTAATGGGACTTCTCTCAAGCAATTTGTAAGATCCCATTAGTCGTTCCTCTCTGCTCCGTTGGTTCCCCCAAACTGCTGTTCCGTCAATCTCCTCCCTCCCCTGCTGCTCGGCCCTCTCGCTTCATGTCCCATCCGATCTGTCTGATGGGCTGCAGGTGTGCCCCATGCCAAGCGCCTATTGATGACAGCACCTGCACTGGGAAGTACACACCCTCTATTACCTCCCCCAACCGGAGCCTTGGGATCCACCTCCTGGGCAGCTTTGCCTGGGCCCCTCCCCCTGGCTCGCCACAATATTCATATATATTCATATTCATATTGGTGGTAAATATACCATAAGAAATAAGATAAGAAACTTAAATATATTTATTATATTATCAGTGACTCACACCTCTGTAAGCGTTACTACAATGACGCTCATATGACTGCCTGGTGACATCAATGACCTGCACTGACAAAGACATCAGATCATTTAAATATGAACTTTGCCGCTCCACCTGAATGCATTTTGGCTGTAGATCTAATGAGAAACAAAGGGTCAGTCATCAATTGGAGCAGGATTGTAAAGGCAAATCTATGTCGAACCAAAATTAGATCAAAGCACGCGTAGAGGTCACGCAGGCAAATTACTTTTGCGAGTGCTTTTATATCACTCCACGAAGAGTATCTCGGCTCTCGTAAGCAAGGAGGGGTTATATATGTCTATGAAGGGTTGTAATCTGCCGAAGGACTCCTGCAACGATACGAGTTCAGGGGTATCACAGATACAGCAGAAGATCTCCGTCTGTCAGCTGCTCATAACTTCAACAACAAATCCATTGTGACGTTACCTGGAGCTGAGCGTGGGAGTCCCTCAGCGCCGCCGCCGTCTCCTCGTCTCCACCGGAGCTCTGATCCAAAGCGCCCCGACTGCTCTCGGAGGGCTGAGATGGTCGTGTTGGCGTCACTGTCCATCGGAAAGGAGGAAACAATCTAATATATGAATGGCTCTCACGCCGACTCAAGCTGCATCCGTGTTTCAATGTGTTCAATGTGTGCATACCAGAGGGAAGCACGTCTCTTCTGTCGTGTAAAATGAAGCCAGGACTTCTTCCCAATCTAAACTTTGCACCAAATAAATGAAATGAATTACTTTACACGGTGTTTGAACCTTTAGAGACGTGTGGTGTTGCACTCAGGTCGCTTAAAGAGTTTCAGAAGAGACCTCGATCATCTATTAAAAGTGATTTTATAGAAAACAAAACGACCGTTTACAAACCTGCTGTGAGACGCCGGCTTCAACTTGAGCACAACTTCGTCCCTCCTTGTTCAACTGGAGCTGCTCCTTGAGAAGCTGCGGTCCGGTTGGACCTCCCCAGGACCATGACGGTCCATCCCACCCTCCACGTCTCAAGCTCACATGAAGCCAGTAAGGACCAGCCCCTTAGTTCCCCCCTCCACCCTCCCGTATCATCGACGGCGGAGGTCTAGGGGTCTAGGGGTCGGGGTCGCCACTTCCTGGTTGACCGGGAGGAATATGGACCAGAGGCGGAGGAATATGGACCAGAGAGGAGTTGTGTCTCCAGCAAGAACATCGTGGACCATTCCCTCATCAGAGATTTCTCCAGGCAACCCAGACCTGCCTGGGCCGCCTGGAGCCGGCTCTAGAGGGGAGGAGGGAGGGGAGGGAGGGGGGGGTACTGTAACGTCTCGTTAGCCTCATGCGTCTTTGCTCTGATTGCACTCTGCCTACTCACCTGCCTAGTCCACCCAACTGCCTCATCACCCCACCCACATATACTCCCCTGTGTCCCCCGCTCCAGTTGTCAGATTGTCATTATTCGTCCCCTCGTGTGTGTGTGTGTGTCTCTCGTGACTATTCCCTGTATCTCGTTAATGACTGTGACTGCCCCTTCTGTGGATTTTGCTCGCTCCCGGTTGGAGTGGTGGATCAGTAAAGAACCACCTTCTGTTTAAAGTTACATCTGGTCTCCAGTGTCGGCCTCTGCGTTTGGGTGTAAGGAAGGAACGCGGGTAGAAGAAAAGCGAGGGAAGAGAGGGGAAATGGCAACTTGTCAGTGCTGGATTAGCAAAGTCCATGTCACTTTGTCAGCAAGGCTAAGAGGAGCTAAGCTACTAATACGTTCACACCAGCTCAGCAACATACACGTACACAACTATTCACAATCCCCCCCACAGACACGCAGCATGCACAAAAAAACAGATTCCCACACATAACCACTCACTCGACGCGAGTGTTGTAGGCATGCGTGTCCCTTTTTCTATGTCTGTGTGTGTGTGGGGGGCAGTTGACACCTTGAGGCATTCATACCAGCCATAATAGCTTCCTGTCAATTATTCCACCATGCAATCAAATGAATGGAAATTCAGTGCTTTTAGGAGTATTAGGGAAAAATCTCTCTTTCTCCCCCTCTCTGTGTATGCATGTTCAATTTGGGTTCTTCACTGCAATTACATCAATGTAAACCACGGCACCCTTTGACATACACAAGTATTGCTTAAATTATTATGCCTTCGTAGTGAATAGACCACATGAGAATATAATTCTCTCTCACTTAAAATGGTGAAAGGGTAAAATGCTGCTGCTTTCAGCTCTGTTTGAATTCATCACCCATCTTTTGAGCCAAAGCATGCTATCAATGAACAACATTTTGAGCAACAGAGTAGGTGGAATTCCGCCTGCCTTTTGAGTTGTCTTGTTTAATACACACTTACAACAATTCTTTAAACTTTACCCGATGGCCTTTGTGTGATACATTCCAAAATAAATACCCTTTCTAATAGGGGTGGGGGTAAAAATCGATTTTTCACGATTCTCTCTAGAACGATTCGGTCTCGATTCAGAAAAGTTAATAATCGGAATTTAAAATAAAATAAAAGTCTGTCTCGCGCGAGATATTTGCTCGCTCGCGGAGCGTGAACTTCCTCGCTTGCGAGGTTAGTCTCTGCTCGCGCTCGAAGGTGTTTTCTACCCGCTCGCTGTTTTTCTTTTTGACAGTAAGGGGGCGGAGCCAGTCACCACGGTCTCTACACCTGATTGGTTACAAACCCCGTCTTTGGATTGGCTGGAGTGATGCATTCACACAACTATAGAAGCCCATTTCGAAATTATGAGATAAAACGTTGTCAAAAAACAAACGCCCCCCTTCGGTAATCGTAGTGGACCGTAGATGACAACCAGCTACAACCATCATTTACCATCATTACCGGCACATTAAGACCAATGCGTCCAGCTCGCAGACTATCTAATAACTTTACCGAACTATGGAGGAGCCTGCGCATATCTTACCTCATTATTTCAATTTTCCAAAAAGTCGATCAAGTCGATTGGCAAGATATTCACAGATTTGGACTTTTTTCCGTTATTTTACAAATACGGACCGGTCTGAGACTAAGAGCAGCTTTTTCTTAATTTAAAAGAAAAATG